ACTTTGTTCATATTGAATAGATTAATGTTGGGAGTCCTAAAATAGTTCACTTAATTTTTGAGATTAAAACACATATTTACTTCAAAAATAAACCGTGGTATCATTAAGCAGATGCCTATAATGTGCTCCTAAATATTTTAGTGAAAGAGGATAGGAAAGACCAATATCTAATTGAATATCTTGTAATTTTATCATATTTACCAACCACAAATCTATGTTGGTCCATTAAATTTTATGACACTTTAAAAAAAAACAAAGTTTTATCAATTGCTTTGGAATTTTTACAACATGACATAAAATGTTTCAAACATGTTTCTTCCATGGAGACATAGAAACATCCCACATAAACATTTATGTATATCTAGAGGCCCAGTGCATAAATTCATGCATGGGTGGGGTCCACGGGCCCTGCCTCAATCAGGGTGGATCAGGGCCGGGCCTGTTGGGAGGAGGAGACAGCGGGAGGTTGGACAGCTGGCCCATACCAATCGGGGTCCAATCAGGGCTGGGGTAGCTGGGGGAAGGAGCCGAGGTGATTGGCCAGTGGGCTCCGCCCCCTATTGGGGTGGGGGGGCTGATTGGGGGTCAGTGGCCAGGGCAGGGGCCAGGGAAGATTGGCCAGCCAGCCCCACACCCAATTGGTGTGTGTGGGGCCGATCCGGGGAGGAGCTAGCTGGGGGGAGGGGCTGCAGGAGGTTGGCCAGCCGGCCACACCCCCGATCAGGCAGGTTCGCTGGCTGCAGTGGGCATCATAGCAACTGGTCATTCTGGTCATTACTGCGCTCCGGTCACTGGCTTTTTATATATATAGATAGATTTAGTACTGAGTTTAAATTGTTCAATCTTTTGAATTCTTTCAAAAAATACTAACAATTTCCAAAACTGAAAAAAGCTAAAAAAATAATTTTTGTTTTATCATATTTTTAATTATTTTTACAGACAAAATCCCCATTTATAAAATGGCAGTAACTATATTTGCAATTATTTTAATAGTAGCATCAAAAGTAAATCAAATAAGGATACAGTTAGTTTTTTGATAATTACCAAGCACATAGTTTATTGGCCTAAAAAATTATCTGGAATAGACAAAGAAAGAAAGAGGTAGGCTTCATGAATGCTTGCATAATAGTTAAAAACAGATGAATACAATATATAGATAACTTTGACATGCTGTATATCATCATAAATTGCAACAAAATTTGGAACTTTCTTGTGTAAATCCTCCATTGTTCACCAAATTCTCTAGTACCACTTAAATCAGCATTAAATCTTTCTAAAGCTACATTTATTTACTTTACTTAAATCAGAATGGGTAAAATATATGCTAGACACATACACACAATATATGTACATGCCTACTTGATTTGCTTTAACACCATTGTCCCTGTCTGGAAAACGACAGTCATTTTAAACAGTTGTGAAATACTGTAAAGTAGTTGTAACTAAATATATACATATGTCAATCAGCAATTTAAACATATTTTTGTTGAACTGAAAAGTACATTCTGTATGTTATTTCTCTGTATTCATTTTATCCATTTTGCATCATCAACAAAGAACAGTTTTTGACTGGCTGGTGTGGCTGAGTGATTGAGCATTGACCCAGGAACCAAGAGGTTACTGTTAAATTCCCAGTCAGGCCACATGCCTGGGTTGTGGGCTCAATCCCCAGTAGGGGGTGCACAAGAGGCAACTGATTGATGATATTTCTATCTCTATCCCTCTCCCTTCTTCTCTCTCTAAAAACTGACACACACGCTAAAAAAAGGAACGTGTTTCTTTTTTATGAGAGTTCTTCTTTTTCACAATGTGAATTACATTTGCGTAAAATAAAATGATGGTCATGTACATAAATACCTTTGCAGAATGCACTAAAAAGTCACAACATGGAATCGCCCAAAGGTCCATCCCAATCACTTACCCCACAACATTTTTATCTGGCCTGAAAGATTTGTGTTGGAAGAACTCACTTTCAACACTAACAACCCGTCTTAGATACTTAATCTTCTATAGCTCCCCAGTCCTGTCAGGTCAAACAACATCTGCTCAGAGTAAATCTATTAACATATTCAGAGCTCTCTCATCAACAAATAACCTTGAGAATCCAAGCAAATAAAAATAGTCCCCCAAAGTTGAGGAGATTCAGCTATTTTGGGACTGAGGTCGCATGGTTTCTTCCAGGGTTGCTCTAATATCCTCTAGCCGTGAGGCTCAGGAGCATGTGTGTGATTTCACACTTGCCCACGCAGAATATGGCGTACTCGGAGTGATTCTCCTCCAATGAGGCAACTCCCTGAAAAGGCCAGAAACATCTCCATGACTCATCAGCCCACTGATATAGTTTGGTTCCCCTAAATCAGACTCATTTGTTATCGGAATGGGCCTTTTTCGCAACCTTTCCTGGACACACCTCTTTAAAACGCAACTTGCAGACCCAAAACAAATTGTCCTTTTCATACACATGCCTTCATACCTGTAAAATTCACATGGAGGCATTTATTCACAAGGAAATACTGAAGAGAGGTTTGGACTTCATGCCGCTAGATTGTAAAAGCTGTATTTTTTTTAAAAAAAATAGGTTTTGATATCACAGTGCTTTTCTAACTTTCTTGGTTCCTGTAGATACCTTGTTAATCTAAATAATCTTAAAGAACACTGAATATTTGGAATAAAAAAATGGAAACATTATAACATGTTATTATTTTTTTTTTTTAAAAAAGCAATCTAAACTCTATACTCAAACTTTAGGCATAACCACATAGCTGCCATACTGAATTTGGTATATACACACACACACACACACACACATCCTCCAAATTCCACAGTCCCTTGGTTTTAAGTGACCAGTCCTATCCTTTCCTCTCTTTTAATAAAGATAATATGGCCACTAGACTTGTGGCATTTTATGTATATAACATCGAGTACCAATATAGAATAACATGGCATATAGGAAACCTATAAAATAAGTGCTAAAATCATGCCACCAGGCCTGTTTCTCAAAGGTTTTCACAGGTAAACTAGCAGAGAGCACTGTTCCTTTGCAAGGGCTGAGTTAGAGCTCCTTTGAAAGCTTCTTAAAATAAGGTCGAGTTCATTTTATGTCGACAATTACGGTAACTACACAACTCCGCTTGTCGTGGACAATTTATTGCATTCACTTCAGGAAGGAACAGCAAGAGACACAGAGATGACTCCCCAGACTACCTCCTGTTCAGTTTGGGGAGTCAGTGGGAGGCGGCCTTTTCTCCAGCACAGTCGCCGACGAAAGGGATCTATTAAAAAGAACTGCGTCGGTTTACACTGCAGGTTGAATGGAGCATTAAATGACTGCGTTAGTCTAACTGCAGTGGGGGGTCATGGTCGCCTCCAGTGGGTATGTGAGGTTGTACTAATACTTCCACGTAGGTGCAATCATTGTTGGAGCGCCTTGATTGAATTTTCCAGCATCTCTCCAGCAAATGCCCCATCCACCTCCCCTCACACCACAGTTTTCTTGTCCTCTCTCTTAGCAAGTGTAAACAGAGGAGGACACATGTGTACTTCCAAACTGTCACCCATGTGTCACGCGAGTGGGGGGCTCCTGCCAATCCCTGGGAGCCAGCTTCTAGGGGGCGGTCAGCGATGCTGCTCGCCAGACCGCGCAGAGTCTCTTAATCTGATCCCCCCGCCCGCCCCTCCTCGGGCCTGGGCTGTAATTTTCCAAACAGCCATCCCTCCTTTGCAAATAAAGTTGAAATCAATCCACAGATACAGAATGCTGACTTCCTGTCATTCAGTTTTACAGGGTTTCTCTTTGTAGAGCTGCCAGCTTGTGACCGATGAGAGAGAGAGAGAGAGAGAGAGAGAGAGAGAGAGAGAGAGAGAGAGGAGAATCACTTGCTTCCTTGCTTCCTAAGCAGGGATTTGCCTGCGATCCGCGGCGAGAGGACTGCGGCGACTGATTTACACAGTTGGCGCGGAGGAGGGGCCGGGGGTGCGAGTGAGGGGAGGGGGGCGGGGGACAAGCTGGCGGAGGCTCCGGCGATGGGCTGATCTGGGGGCTCCCCAGCGCCTCTGCCTGCGTGCGCGATTTGGGGGCGGCCGATGGATCTGCATTCGGGTTCCAGCCTGGCGTTTCGCATATTGCTTCCTAACCCCCGACCCGGCGCTCCCAGTTTGGGTGCAGACGTCGGTAAGTAACGTGTCATCCGATTTCAGTGATTTCCGAGGCCATTAAAGTGGCACTTTTAAAGCAGGTCAGTCTTCACAGAGGCTGCCGGCGCGAGCGTCTCCTTGGCCTGAAACGTTCCGCGGTCCCCTTCCCCGCCCTTCCCCCTCCATCCCCCCCACCCCACCCCGTTGGAGAAGTGAGGGTGTTCGAATGGTGAGCTGTCAGGGGGCCCGCTGTCCGCCCACAGTATCGCCGCACCTTGGTGCTTGGCCCGAGATCCCCCAGTTCCAAGTGCCATGTGTGTGTGCAGCCATACTGTGGTATTTGTATCCTCTTCCTCTCGCCTTCCTCCCCACCCCCCACCCCCTTCGCCGTCTGGCCAATGCTGGGATCTGGGATCTGGTCGCCCCCTTCCTGCATCCTGCCTGCCCCTCCCACCCTCTCCTCTCCTCTCCTCTCCACGCCACCCCACCCCACTCCCACGGACCCAGAGAATCCGGAGCAAAGACACCCGGCGGAGGCGAGGGCTAGTCCCGTCTCCCATGGAAGGAGGCCTCGGGCAGGGATCGCGCCGGGAGCGACAACCTTTCAGGAAGCAGACGAGAGGGAGACCCAGACACCAAGCCAGGGCTCTCCGGGACCGCGCAGCTCACCGCCGAACCGAGGGCTCCGAGCTTTTCCATTGAAAAGGAACCCCGGGTTCTGGGACACTCGCTCCGCCCGCCCGCCCGCCCGCCCGCCACCCGGGGCGAGCAGAGCCCAGGTCGCCGGCTCCCCGCCACCGGCCTCGCCGCGCTAGGTGAGCGCCCCGCTCTCCCGTTGGTGTGCGGCGACCATTTCCCCGCAAGTCTGCAAGGTGGGAGCACTTCGGATGACCAGCCTGATTCGCGGGCCTTTCTGAAAGTTGGCGGCCGGAGGAGGAGAGGCGGCGAGGCTCCGGCGCGATGGATCCAACGCCGCCTTCCCGAGAGTTGGCGGCGCCCGCGGGGAAGTCCCTGGGAGCGCAGCGCGCCGCGGAGGTCGTGCGCGCTCTGCCCCGCTAGGTACCGGCCGCCATCCTCCCCCACTTTGCCTAATTGAAAGCGGGCGGTCTTGGACGTAGGATGTGCACGGCAGAGCCCACGGAGAGTTTGGCCGCGGGGGCTCCGGTACGCTCACAGGTGCTAGGGGTCTGTGGGCTTTTCTGAGCCGGCTCGTTTAGCGGTCAGGACGCCGGGCGGAGGAGAGGTGCGGGAGACCGGCGGGACCGCGGACCCTCTGCCGGAGGAGGAAATCGTGAGTAACTCCATCAAATAGGGCAGGTGGAGGAGCGGAGCCTCCGCCCCTCCCCCAGCGGATCGCTCGCTCTGGTGGTAAGAGAGAGAAGGAAGGAAGAGGCTCGGGCTGCTTAATCGTTTTCCATTTCTAAACAGACCCATTGTGTCTTTCGCCTGGTTGATGAGAGAACTGATGGGCAGAAGGCTCCGCGCTCTTCAGAAAATGAATGATGCAGCATTTTAATGATGTTCCGGGGGGAGATAGTTTTGCTTCCATATTGGAATAGTTAATTGTGCATGTGTGGCAACGAGTGGGCTCGGGGACCAGGCAAAGGGGAGGGAGAGGGAGGAAACGGGTCCACTGGGGAGAAAGGGCTTCTTGTCCTCCCCGTGGACAAATGATGCCGGGCGCTCCCAGCAGGAAACGGACAAACCCAGAGATCCACCCCCCCCCCCCCCCGCTTCATCCCAACTTTTGGAGCTCTTCCTACCGCCCAGACACGCTATACTGAGATCAAGGAAAGGACATGGGTGACACGTCCTTTAGGACGGGGCCCTAATCAAGAATCTGGGGGGCTGTATGTAGTTCAGGATAGAATGATGGCCGAGAGGGCCCTTTACCATCCCGGGGATGCCAATGGAAGTCTCCAGGTTACCCATGGATTCCATAGCATCATGGGTTGCCTTAAAATCCGTGAGACAGTTACCGCCTCTGCACGTTGGGTACAAAAGGTGGTGTATGTGTGTGTGTGTTTGTGTGTGTGTGTGTGTGTGTGTGTGCGCGCGCGCGCGTGCGTGGGAGGGGGAGGTTGGCAGCTGGTGATGGAGATGGGATCGCTCTGGTTCTGAGCTCAGGCTGTCGGGGTTGGCCTGAGAGCTCCCTGAGAAATAGGGTGGTTCTGGAAGATTAAGGACGTGGTGGAGTACAGAACCCTACCCACCTGCTTACTTGGTTTCTGATGGCTGCTTCCAATCTCAGCTTCTGTGGAGCAAAGGGCACTTGCATTTTTGAATGCAAAATATCAGGCACATGTACTATGACTGACAGTAAAGGGACATGTTGTTGACTTGGGGGATTTACTGGTAATATATATATATTTACTGGTAATATATATATATATATATATATATATATATATATATATATATATATATTAGGATATAAGACATTGACACATACACTATGTTTTTCTTTAACATTTGGTTTTGTAAAAAGAACTTTAAGGGAAAGGCACCTCTACTGCCTAACTTTGAGCCCTTGGGCAATTGAGGTTCAATCGTTCAGTTGAGGATTTTAGCCACCAGAGTCCCTCCCTTCCCCATGAGTTGGTGACAGGATTGGTGTGTGTGTGTGTGGGGGGGGGAGTAGGAGGTGTGCATCCATGATGGATGCAGTTTCCACTAGCTAAGTGGACTTGCTTGGTGCACATTTGCCCCTACCCAGTTTCTCCACTAAGAGGCATTTTGTTCCCCAGCAGAGAGGACTGTAGAACTGTCAGTTGAGCTGTAAAAGATTCCTCACACAGGGTTCCTGTGAACTGTAATCTGGTAGCCCCTCAATACTGCGACGTCTTCCCTCCATCTCCCCCACCTCATGACTCTCTACCATCCACTTTCCCAAAATAGTTGGACCAAATATGTATACTGCTCCCCTCCACCCCCCCCATCCCCGCGAGGTCTTTCCCAGTGGAAGCAAGTGAAATGTGTCATTGTTACCGAAGTGTTCTTTGCCTCCTTCCAGAACATGGGTTTCTCTCTGCTTGTAAAAAGGTAGAAGGAAGCACATGGCTGTTGAATCCAGGGACAATCAGAGGTTTTGAGCTGCAGCACAATAGAAGGATTCCTGGTGCAAAGAGATCGAAGCAAAATGCAGGACAAACTCTGTCCAAGTCGCTCGCATGCCCGAGCTCTTATTTTCGGGACACCCAAGCAGAATTAGCTCGATTCAGCTCTTCTGTTTCGGAGACCTGGATTTTCCTTTATCCCTGTCTTTGCAGAGAGGTGTCTGTGCTGTGAAAAGGATAATTCTGAAAGATAGTCATAGTTTTGAGCCTGCCTCCACCGGAGAAAGGAGCTTTGGGAACGGGAGGAGTGAACCACTCAGGCGATAGTTTCCTTGAGAGTTCAGAAAAGAAAAAGGGGGAAAAATGCCGACAGCTCTCCCCCCTAGCATCGCCACCTTTCCCACCAAAGGAATGTTTCCTGGTAGGTTGGTCCTTCTTCCTTCTGTTTCTTATTTTGACAATTTATCTTGATCCCTCCACTTCTTTTCTCTCTGCTTAAACACACACACACACACACACACACACACACACACACACACACACACACACTTTAGTCTGGGCTTCCTAGTGCTCACGCCTGACCCTATGCTAAGCGCATCCCTGTCTTGGAGCTCATTTTCATGACGTGGAAAGCCGGTTCCAGGGTTACAGCACATATTGAAGGGGGTGGGGGAGCCAACGAGAGAGAAGTGTGAGGGTCAGCACTGTCACTGAGCCTGCCTTCCCCCCTGCCTTCCTCCCAGTGCCCGATTCAGTGATGAGCTGCTGGTACCCAGAGAAAGCAGCCTCTGCAGCGGCGGCAGCAGCAACAGCGAAGCTGGAAGCCTGCAGCAGCCCCTTCTCCTCCCTCCTCCACTGAGTGTGCCAAGTGGCAGTTCTGCATCCAACAGGAGCCCATTGAAAGGCCCATTGCATTCCCAGCACGTCTCCAGCTGGCTGCCTTTGCCTTTTTTTATCTTAGTCTATCCCCCACCCCATCTATACCCCTTTGCTTCAGCTTCAGCACAAGGAAAGGAGGGAGAGGGAGAGAGAGAATCCTTAAACTCAAGCCTTTCTTCTCCTACCCCCAATGTCTATATATATTCTACAAAATAGGTAAATCAAAGACATACGGAGTCTTGTTTACCTAAATCTCAGGGACCTCAAAAATAAAATAAAACCTTTAAAGTAAAAAATAACAATGGTGAAGAAAGAACTTAAGTAGATTTTAATATTTTATAAGGGAGACTAACTGATACTGCAATGTAGTCTCATCTGCCTTCTCTCTCCACCCCCCTCTTTTTCATTTAATTGTTTCTAAAAATTGAGTATTGAACGCCTGAGGCAGATTCCTCTTTGCTTTCTCACTGGTTCTCCTCTCCTTACAGCTGTGTACATTCTGTGCAAGTTGACCGCGAAGATTTATTCTTTTCACTCCCCCTATAAATTAAAACATTATGCTTTAAGTTAGAGGGTTGGCTGAATATTTCCTTAATGCATGTATCCAAGTGTGGAGAGAAAATTATATGCGAAAAACTCCAGTTTATTTTTATTGATTAAAAACAACCCCTCAATTTCGATGGACAGTTCAGTGACTCCTAAAGGGCAATGTAATAAAGCTGCATTATTATAATTTATGTATGTATGCATTTTCATATACTGATGACATTAGGCAAGGGGAAAAAAGCCATGGGGGATGCTCTGTATTTATTATTAGCACTGTATTTGCTTCTTCCGATTGAAAAAGAATGATATGTTTCCTTGAAATGTATCTCATGTGATAGATCATTTATCAGCAGGTATGTGTCAAGTTTCCCCTCTTTCTTGCCTTTAACTACTCTAAACAGCCACCTGCCGTTCCAGTTTCAGCTTTTGACAGGGTTCTTGAGTTGATCATGAAGGCACAGATGAGCTGTTAATACAGACACTCCCAGGTCCAGCACCCTTTCACTGTCATTCTCTTTAGCTCTGACAAGTGCATGGACTTGTTCTTTAGAAAGGATAATCACTGCTAAAACGTTTAGCCAAATGATGCACGTATATAGAAAATACTTAATTAGAGGACACATCAATAATCTGTGTTTGGGCAAAGGGAGTGGAGGTACAGTGTGTTACTGAGCAGACATGATGAGCATGATGTGATCATTTCTTAGGAGAAATCTGACGTTTTCCTGAGATATCAATCATTTTATACTTCCCAACATCGGATAGTTGGGCAATGAGCTCATACTTTATCATACTCTTCAATCTAATAACTTTTATTTTCATCGTGTATTTTCATGAGAAGAAACCTATAATTTAAAGAACATTTTTTTTTTTCCCATCAGACTTCCAATCAGATGGGGCAATGAGCTCATACACTCTCATGCTCTTTAATAACATGTCTTTTCATGAGTAGAAAACTATAATTTAAAGAACTTTTTCCCCCATACGAGTTCCAATCAGATCTATAACGGGCACCTCTGAGGCCAATGTGAGTTTTAACAGGCAAGCAGGTGTAATGGCCAAAATATTGCCATTATTACTGAATCTGCCTATATTTAAATGCATCACTCACCAGTCCCCTTACTTGCTATCAGTGACAATGAAGGCTTCTTTTGTATAACATACCCCTTACCAAGTATGGCTCGGTAACGTCATCACATGATACAATATTTCTGTTTCCTAAGTTTAAAATATAGGGCAAAGTAGGCATGTTGCTAGGTCCTTTTGAGTGTCAGTTCCACAACTGCGGAGGCTTTTACTTCACTCTTACTAAAAAGCCCCGATGTAGGAGTCAATTAGAACAGTGCGTATGACTAACAGCTAAAAATCTGCATCTTTATTTCTGTTGCAGTTTTGTAATCCACCACGAATGATGAAACCTTCCATAGCGGAGCTGCTCCACAGAGGGAAGATGCTGTGGATTATTCTTCTAAGCACAATCGCTCTGGGCTGGACTACCCCGATTCCCCTGATAGAGGACTCAGAGGAGATAGATGAGCCCTGTTTTGATCCATGCTACTGTGAAGTCAAAGAAAGCCTCTTTCACATACATTGTGACAGTAAAGGATTTACAAATATTAGCCAGATTACCGAGTTCTGGTCCAGACCTTTTAAACTATATCTGCAGAGGAATTCCATGAGGAAATTGTACACCAACAGTTTTCTTCATTTGAATAATGCTGTGTCCATTAACCTTGGGAACAATGCCTTGCAGGACATTCAAACAGGAGCTTTCAATGGTCTTAAGATTTTAAAGAGGCTGTATCTACATGAGAACAAACTAGACGTCTTCAGAAATGACACTTTTCTTGGCTTGGAGAGTCTCGAATATCTGCAAGCAGATTACAACGTAATTAAACGCATCGAGAGTGGTGCATTTCGGAACCTCAGCAAACTGAGAGTTCTGATTTTAAATGATAATCTCATCCCCATGCTTCCAACCAATTTATTTAAGGCTGTCTCCTTAACGCATCTGGACCTCCGTGGGAACAGGCTGAAGGTCCTTTTTTATCGAGGGATGCTCGACCACATCGGCAGGAGCCTGATGGAGCTCCAGCTGGAGGAAAATCCCTGGAACTGTACGTGTGAGATCGTGCAGCTGAAGAGCTGGCTGGAGCGCATCCCTTACACTGCCCTGGTGGGAGACATCACCTGTGAGACCCCCTTCCACTTCCACGGGAAGGACCTGCGAGAAATCCGGAAGACAGAACTCTGTCCCTTGTTGTCCGACTCTGAGGTGGAGGCCAGTCTGGGGATTCCCCACTTGTCATCAAACAAGGAGCATGCATGGCCAACGAAGCCTTCCTCCATGCTGTCGTCTGTCCATTTTACCGCTTCTTCCGTTGAATACAAGTCCTCAAATAAGCAGCCCAAGCCCACCAAACAGCCCCGGACACCAAGGCCGCCCTCCACATCCCAAGCTTTCTATCCTGGTCCAAACCAACCTCCCATTGCTCCTTACCAGACCAGACCACCCATTCCTATTATCTGCCCTACTGGGTGTACCTGTAATTTGCACATCAATGACCTTGGCTTGACTGTCAACTGCAAAGAGCGAGGATTTAATAACATTTCTGAACTTCTTCCAAGGCCGCTGAATGCCAAGAAACTCTACCTGAGTAGCAATCTGATTCAGAAAATATACCGTTCCGATTTTTGGAATTTCTCTTCATTGGATCTCTTGCATCTGGGGAACAATCGTATTTCTTACGTCCAGGATGGGGCCTTCATCAACCTGCCCAACCTAAAGAGCCTCTTTCTCAATGGCAACGATATCGAGAAACTGACACCAGGCATGTTCCGAGGCCTACAGAGTTTGCACTACTTGTACTTCGAGTTCAACGTCATCCGGGAGATCCAGCCTGCAGCCTTCAGCCTCATGCCCAACTTGAAGCTGCTATTCCTCAACAATAACTTGTTGAGGACTCTGCCCACGGATGCCTTTGCAGGCACATCCCTGGCCCGGCTCAACTTGAGGAAAAACTACTTCCTCTACCTTCCCGTGGCTGGTGTTCTCGAACACTTGAATGCCATCGTCCAGATAGACCTCAATGAGAACCCTTGGGACTGCACCTGTGACCTGGTCCCCTTCAAGCAGTGGATCGAAACCATCAGCTCCGTCAGTGTGGTGGGGGATGTGCTGTGCAGGAGCCCTGAGAACCTCACCCACCGGGACGTGCGCACCATTGAGCTGGAAGTGCTCTGTCCCGAGATGATGCACACGGCACCAGCCGGAGCCTCCCCGGCCCAGCCTGGGGAGCCCCACCTTCCGGGGGGGCCGACGAGTGCATCGCCCTATGAGTTCTCTCCCCCGGGGGGCCCGGTGCCGCTTTCTGTGTTGATCCTCAGCCTGCTGGTCCTGTTTTTCTCCGCCGTCTTCGTGGCTGCGGGCCTCTTTGCCTATGTGCTCCGCCGGCGGAGGAAGAAGCTGCCCTTTCGAAGCAAGAGGCAGGAGGGCGTGGACCTCACGGGGATCCAGATGCAATGCCACCGGCTTTTCGAGGACGGCGGGGGCGGGGGAGGTGGGAGCGGGGGCGGGGGCCGACCCCCTCTCTCCTCCCCAGAGAAGGCCCCCCCGGTGGGCCACGTCTACGAGTACATCCCCCACCCCGTGACCCAGATGTGCAACAACCCCATCTACAAGCCTCGGGAGGAGGAGGAAGCGGCGGCCGTGGCATCAGGGCAGGAGGCAGGGAGCGCAGAACGCGGGGGTCCCGGGACACAGCAGCCGCCGGCCATGGGCGAGGTGCTCCTGGGGAGCGAGCAGTTTGCCGAGCCCCCCAAGGAGAACCCCAGCAACTACCGGACCTTGCTGGAGAAGGAGAAGGAGTGGGCCCTGGCCGTGTCCAGCTCCCAGCTCAACACCATAGTGACGGGGAACCATCACCACCCGCACCCCCACCACCCAGCCGTCGGGGGGGTGTCGGGGGTCGTTGCAGGACCTGGGGCAGACTTGGCTGGGTTCCGCCACCACGAGAAGAATGGCGGGGTGGTGCTGTTCCCCCCCGGGGGAGGCTGCGGGGGAGGCAGTCTGCTCCTAGACCGGGAGAGGCCGCAGCCAGCCCCCTGCACGGTGGGCTTCGTGGACTGCCTCTACGGCACGGTGCCCAAGTTAAAGGAACTGCACGTCCACGCCCCTGGCATGCAATACCCAGACTTACAGCAGGATGCCAGGCTGAAAGAAACCCTTCTCTTCTCGGCTGGAAAGGGCTTCACAGACCACCAAACCCCCAAAAATGATTACCTCGAGTTAAGGGCCAAACTTCAAACCAAGCCGGATTACCTCGAAGTCCTGGAGAAGACAGCATATAGGTTCTAACAGAAAAATACAAATAAATTACTACTTTGTTTTTGTTTGTTTTTTTTTTTTTCCCAAAAGAAAAGGAAAAGGAAAGAAATATATATCCCCTGTTCCCTTTCCACGGTTCCCAATCAATCCATTCTCACAGACGTTCCTGCCCCGAACGGAACCCACACCGCATGGAAACTAGAAAATACAAGCTGTATGCGCTCCCCTCCCCGATGCCATGGGGAGGGAGGGCCATCCGGAGATCATTAATCAATGAAGTGCCTTCGCAGACTTTTGCCAGCAAATGTTATCATTATTTTTTTTATACTGAAACTTGAGACTTTGACTGTGCCATGTATAAGGTATATTGGGGATCGTTGTATTGATCCTAATGAAGTGAAATTCAATGTATCTTTTGATTTTCAGTAGCCCCCCCCCCCCCCCCCCCCAATTGAGTTCTGTTCAACAGGGAGCGGAGAAAACAAATTGACATCCGTGGCTCCCTTTCCCCTTCCCGTCATGGCACAGACCCTGTACATGTATTACCAATGCAGTTTGCTGCATGCCTGGAAACTGCAAGCCGGGGAGGGAGGGGGCGGGTCTTGCTCGAATGTTCTCACCCACTCTTCTTTCTCTCCCACACATACCCATAGGCCAATCACCAAGCCCTGCCCACGGGTCCCTAAACCTGCCACCTGCACCCTCTTGCTTCTGGTGCAGGTACACAGGCACACACACACACACACACACACACACACACACACATACACACACACGCACCCCGATACCACTCCCATTCAAGTCAATGTAATTATTTCGGGTTTGATCCATTTGCCTCCTCTCCATAGCTCTACCTTCCCCTCAGCCCTAGTGTATAGCTCACAACATCTTTCCTACCACCCAGGAAAAGTCCTATTCTAGGCTGGATCCCAGGGCAGTGGAGGCCCGGTGGTTTCCCAGCCCGAGGCGCACACCTAGGGATGAGCATCCTCTTTGTGACACTTCATCCTGATGCCAAGATATTTTGGAGAACATCTGCACTTTCTTATATAAATATATATAATATTAAAAAAACAAAAAAGCAACTGGTATATATCACTAACAGCTTTGTAGGAAGCACTTTTAATGTTTTCTCTCACACACAGGTTCAAAAGAAATGTGCATATATTTATTCTGTAATTTCAGTTATAAATTGTAAAGGTAATGTTTAATCATTGTATAGTGATTACGCGTCCGGTATAGCTTTCCTAATAAAAAGTTTTTGAAAAACATAATACATTATATATAGAGGATACAAAGCTTGAACCTTAAATTCCAGCTATGCCATGCCTTTCATGATCACATTTAAAAAAATCTTTCTTTTCCTTGTTATACAGAAAGCTAGTTTATTAACAAGTTTGATGCACTGTGATGTTGATAAATCTTATACCCTGCTCCCACCCCATCCCATACCAGGATACAATTGGGACTTTAAAAAATCTGATTTATACCATTTGCTTCTTGTCTCTTGGATTATATATTTCAAACTTAGTACCCCAACAATGCACCACTTTTTCTAGGCAGGATGTAATTGGGAAAAATAAGGTAACCATGTTGCTAAGACGTATAGAATTAAATAAGAGGAGGATCCAGGCATCTTAAGAGAGTAAATCAAGGATCCAGGCATCTTAAGAGAATAAAGGACAAAAAGGAAAAGAAAAATTGCTATTCTTATAAAAAAACGTGCACTAAAGTTACACACACACGCACACATCCCAATAAAAAAGTCTAAGGCCTTGGAGCCAATTTGTCAGAATCCTGTTATTTGTGAAAGTTTAGCTACTGGTTTTGCCAACCACATACTGCAACTGGCCCCAGTCATGCTTGAACTAAGATAAAGGACGTTGGATGAGTTTTTCATCCTTTATGACACAAAAATGATGTTTCTAAATTAATCTGACAATAATCCAAGTTACGATCCATTTACATGTGAGCGAAACCAAAGAAAATCGGATTTTTAAGGTGCCAGTATGTTATTTAAGAAAGAATACCATACGGAGCTCGGGAGGCACTTATCTCATTGTGCCATTAGAGGGCAGCAGAGCTCCAGAGAGTCATAGACCCTGAGCTGCAGAATTGTGCGTTGACCCCCGCGATCTCTGCTAGTGTTTCCTCAAGCTGCCCTTAGTAGAAATTATCGTTATGTGTTGAATGTAATTCACAAGTCACTGATGCCTTACATCCCATTTTTTCCCATACGAAAGAAGACTAGCAGCTTCTAAAGCTGTGTAACTGATACAAAACTAAGGCATTGTACTTTAAAAAGAAATCCCCATAAATGTCTATGATATATTTATATATCTTTCGATTAGTTATATATGGATATCAACATAGGTATGCATAAAATAAAATAAAAACACACAAGTATATCAATATAAAAAAAAGCAATTTTTCAGGGCTACTTTGCATTTGGCACATTGTACCTTCACCTTTTGTCCTTCATTATTTGAGGTATATTTTGGAATTACTTCAGATGAAGAGAAGCCCACCGGCAGGATTCACTGTTTCTCTACATACAATATTGAAATGCAGCGCTGCTTGTGCAAGAGAATCAGACCCACTGTTAAATAGGTGTTATTGTTCTTTTAAAATTCTTTTCCTTTCCTTTTCACTTTCCCATAAGTCAGCTTTTTCATAGTTATTTCGCTATCCTCATTCTTCATTCTTTTTAAACACTTCTTCTTTCTTCACTTAAAGTCTTTTCCCAAGGCACAGAAAGTCAGTACTAAACTTTAAGTGTTTTCAAACCTGATCTATGGAGCCCCTCCAAACTAGTGATTTATCATGTCTCCATTCCTCTTAATTAAATATTTTAGTGGATAGTAGAAAGCATGTGCATAATAAAAAACAAAGTGCAAAGCTAGGTACTTCTGACAATATTCATCATTTTCTTAATAACTGCACACATTCATAACATGGTAAATTCTACAAATCAGGTTAAAGTGCAATCCCTAATGATCCTGGTGCTTTTGACATTTGAGAAATGAGTATCCATAAACCATATTAAATTACAATATACCTTGATAATTATAATGTTTATATTTTATTTATTAAATACAGAAAGTAAGACTGACTTAAATATAGGTAATAATTTTACCCTTGAGTGAGAAATAAATTTATTTAGTGAAAATAAATTTATATGAGAATGAAATTTTGTATTAAAGAAGATATTTTTTTTTGCATCCATGGAGTTTTCTACCCCTTGGCTAGGTCACTTATTTTTGTTGTGTATTAGAATTACTTAACTTTAGTTCATAATACCAGATATATTTTCTTAAAGTACCATGGGTATTATAGGTACTACTATTAGAACTTCTTTCTTTTTTTTTTTTTTTGCTGTAGTAAAGTGCTTATTTTTGAGAAAAATGCACATTGCTATTCACTTCATAGTGATGGTCAATTCGAATGAAGCAGACCTAGATCAAGTGGATATTTGTAGTATTTCATTGCTATTTTATTATAAATTTTAGTAATAATATTTAAAATAAAATGTATTGTAGTGTCCCTTTTACTATGAGATGGTGAGTGAAATATGATTGAAAGTGAAATTGGTCTGATTCAGTAATAGTTTTGACATATACAGTTTTATTTATGTGGATGCTTTTATGTTTTTTTTATTTTAAAAGCAATATTATTTCATCTAATTGCAAAATACTAAAAATATGATGATGATGACAACCATATTTTAAATAAAAGTTTAGAGAGAAATCACAAGAAAAAGTTTAATGACTGAATTTAAAAAGTTTTTTTTAACCTAGAAATGTTAGTTGTAAACCATTGATATTTGAAAATAATATTTGTGCTTAGCATTATGAACATTGATAATGCAATTGCAGAAGATAAGGACTTTAACTACTGAAACACATTATTTTGATTAGTTTAGTGCAAATTAATTGTTCATACAGTCCTATCCTTTGGAAGTTATGTTGTGTAGGCCAACAAATGTTGCATTTTTGCAAAATGGCCATGACAAAGAACACACTAATGAGATGCTTCACAGTATGTGACACCTGACTGTAAGGAGTCAAAACAATATGAGAGGAAATGGTAATAAAAGAGTACTCCATTTTAGGTTATTTGAGCTATAATTTATATTTAGCTCAAAATCCTTAACTATGAAACTTCAGGTGAACAGAGCATAAATAGCTATCACTAATTTCACCATATAAGTATCCTGTTTAATATACTATAGGCCTTTTAAAAGTAATAGGAGCAATAACAATCATGTATGTGTGTGTGTATACATATATATTGTACTATTATATATGTATATACGCTGTATATGCATGTATATAGTTTATATATGCTGGATTATACTTACGTGTAAATTAGGCATTTTCTCACATGTATAACAATTTCAGTTTTATGCATTTATTTTCCTTGCTTCTGTCTAGCTACTGTCCAAGTGAAGCTGGATGAAATTATGAGTCTTCACTTTAGGAATAGACACATGTAAAAAGTAACACTGTAATTAATATTTCTGAATTTAAAATTTATTTTATCTTCCAATTTGCTTCATTTTGTTATTTAAATCATAAAGGCTAGAAATTTCAGTCAAATTGTGATTTATTTTAAGTCTTTATAGTAAAGAAGTCAATCTCTTATAAATATGCAACATAAGTCAAATGGAAAACAAGTGCTCCTTTTTCATTTTTCTATTTCTAGAATAAATTTTATAGGTGAAACAATTTCGGTAGATTTATTTGATAAGACCTTTGTAATTCATCTAGGTATGTAGAAAAAGTGAAATCTTGAAGGTCAATCTAAGAGAAGTAAAGAAACTGTTTAATACATTCATCATCCTATTTTACTTCTTTTAAGATCACCCTTCATTTAAAATGTATAATAATATAAATAATAATAAAAATACAGATGGTTATTTTTAGTATGCTTTTACAAAATCTAAATTGAAGGGGTTAATGTTTTCAGCTCAAGAAAAAGGTGCACACCATGTGTTGCTAGTTGTGAAGAGGTAAATTTTTGGGTAGCTTCTTTTTAAAAATTTTTATTCTTATGCTTTATTTTTTCTTTTTAAAAAATTTTTATTGTTGAAAGTATTACATATGTTCCCCCCCTTTCCCTCATTGACCCCTTCTAGTCCACCCCCTCTAACCCAGGCCTTCACCACCCTATTGTCTGTGTCCATGGGTTATGAAAATGTGCAGACAAGTTTTTTGGTTGATACCTTCCCACTCACCTACGCCCACCTTCCCTCTGAAATTTGACAGTTGGGTAGCTTATTTAATTTGGATAATATTTGCTCATGAAAATAACATACACATTTTTGAGAATATGGTTGTTTCCTCTATATTGTATTGATACAGATAACTTTTCACATGTTCTTAAAATTCTAATAGAAAATAATACTTGTGGTAAACCTTCAATGATA